ATAATAGGGGTTTTGTGTGCCTGGGATAGCCAGCTAATTAGATGCAGGCTGGTTTTGTTTGGGGCAAAGGGGCTTGCACAAAACATGCAATGGCTAGAAGGTAATTTTGTGTGCAGGACTAGCACATATCTTCATAAAACCTGTAGTATTCTGAACAATCTAAAATGCGATTTAGATATCAAAAGGAATGCCTATATACTTAGTCATTAATAACAAAAATAATAGTATTTAAGTGTAGATCCTTTACATTATTTGGGATAGCACTGTTACATTACACAGGAGCAAAAAAACAAGAGCCACACAATCTGAGGAATTAATGAGGCTCAAACATAGCATTTCTCTTTTCTTTCAAAAAATAAAAATAAAAATGGTTAACCAAGGTGTTAAATTATAACAACTTCAATCAGCTGGACGTAAGACTTAGTTGTATTTTCTTAGCATTTGTCACGTTGTTTATAGCAAAACGAAATAAATAACTTTTCTCTATTACAGGCCCATAAGAAAGACACATTAAAAAAATAATAATAATAAAAAAAAAAAGTAAAACAAGCTTACATTCTTTAGATTATTCTATCTGCTTGTACATTCAGGAAGTATTTTGAACTTTCTTGTTGGGCTGATAGCCTTTGAAAACTTCTATCCTCATTTTATAATGCGTTTGGTGAACTCAAATCAGTGTACTGAACCAAACTATCCTTTACTCAGCTCCATGTACCTGTGAGCAAATAACAGCCTGTAGGGATCCAGCACATCAGCTGCTTAAAAGATAAACCTACCCAGCTTGATGAAAACTCTTCACCACCTTCCTGTTGAGAGAAAACAGCTACACATTTCTAATAAATGAAGCAGGAACTGTCATTTTTTTGGCAAACTGATAACTAGCTGTAACAGCCGCAATGCCACAAGTTGCTTTTCCAAAGTAATTACCATCAGGCTCCCTGTGGTATGCAGTGTTTAACACATTTCTTCTGTGTTAATGAATGCAAAAGCAGGAAACACCACTATTAGTAATCGCTTTTTATTCGTAGTCCTCATTTTCCAGATAGGTCACATTAAACACAGCCATTGAACAATAGCGGTTGAAATAATTAATACAATGTATGCTGCTTTTGTTTGTGGATTTTTTTGTTTGTTTGCTTTTATTTTTTTTTTCTGTTTATTTTTGGTGTGTATGTGTTATTCACTAGTCATTGGTGCAACTTTGAGCCATATGGGGAGACAGGGACTGATAGATGCGAATGCCAACCTGTAGCACTACTGGGCCAGAGAAGTCAAAATCTTAATCAAGTTTCACTCAGCTACATTTCAATAAATCTTGATAGCCAAAACTCCCACTTCAATTAATGGAATAATAATCAAAGTCTAATCTCAAAATAAAGTAATTAAATAATAATGAATGGGTGCACATTATGCTTGGTTTCCAACTCCTTTTTGACCTTAGCAATATCTCTTCCGTTAGGCAACAAAGAGTTCAAAGTTTGTTTGAATGATGTACCTTGCTCCACTGTGAGCAATTTTTGACTTCTGGATATGGCTTGGACTTCAAAGCCTAATACCTCAAATGGCAAATCATAGTTAAGAAGAGTCTCTTTCCTGATAAGTATGCCAGGAAAGAAGAGGAGGAAAGAAAATATCTGATTCAGAGTCCTGATTTGATTGGACAGTCTTTTAAGGAAGTTTCAGTTGTTCGATTTCATTAATCTAAAAAATAAAAATAATAAACAAAATAAAACAGAATGCCTTATGTTCTATTCACAGTGTACAGTACAGTTTTATTAGTTTTTTAACTTGCTTTCCCTTAGCTCAATCATTCTCTCTATAGTCATGTGACAGATATTTTATTTCAGTTTTATAAGACATATACATAAGGAATGAGAGAAATAACTTCATCTTCCATTGCTGTCTCTTTCTCCAGTGGTGATTGCAAAGATACCAAAGAGAGAAAAAATGTTCTAATTCTTTTGTTTGTGGTACTTCGTATGACACTTCCTTCACACATAATCATATTCATTTTGACTCAAACAGCAAAACTCACATTGTATATGCTCTGCTTGTTTGTTGATACATTATGTATCAATCCTAAATTATGAAACAGATTTTTTAACCAGGGATATGCTTACTGGAAGCAGTATGCTAAAGATCTACAACACAAGGCAGTTGTCGGCCAAATTAAATAAAAGTAAGATTTCCTAAACTCTTCCATAAAGCTGTGAGTCATGAATTCTGAATTACTTCAGTGGTAAATAAATAATCACTACTAAATACAGATAATGTGTTAAACAACTAAAGCTAGTAAATCACTAGTGACAGAGAGCCTTAAGGTAAGTTCCTCTTACATTGGCACAGCCCTTTCTCAGAATATTGTGGTTTTATGTCTTCAGACATATACAATGAATTGTACAATCGGTTACTCAGTGTTAAAATCATTTATAAAATACACAAATCTCCATCACTTGACTGCATTTACATACTGGCTTAGATTTTGCTGAATAATGGATCTCACTGGCAGAGCTAAAGACTCGGTGCGCAGACACTGAAGTGATGAGCACCACAGAAATACGTATAAAAGACTGTTCAAACAATAAGAAATCCTCTCCACTATGGAATTTTAAGCTATCAAGCTATCAAGCAAAATCAGTCTTGGGTCTTCTGGCCAAAAAGAAAGAAATATATATAACACAGACAACACCACATTTTAGTTACATAAATTGTCCAAAACATGGAGAGTAGCTTGATAAAACATGTACAAGATCATTTGCTTACATGTATTCATAGACTTTTTTTAACAGCAGGAGCTACGAGCAAACTGGAATGGGTGTTTCCAACAACCAAAGACAATTAATTGTAGAACTGACTAAGTGAAAACGCCCTTTAATGGTAATATCAACAGGAAAAAAAGAAAATTAGATGAATGTTATTTCTGGAATTCATGAAAAGTATGGCTTTGTGATATTTGAGACTGTGAAACTAAATTAAATAAGATCTGTTATATATGTTTTTATAGTAGAGCTTTTGTTTAATTTAGCCAGATACTGTTTTTAAACAATGTGCTGTAGTTTTATGTCTAACACAGTATCTGAAGCATGCAGGGGACAGATCGTGAGCTAAACATTCTTTTTCTTGTTCTGTGCTTGTTCATTCTGAATGTGGATTGATTTTTTTTAAACTTTCATCTGAAGGCAATTTTGAATTTTTCAAATGCAATAGAAATGCCCTTAGAAAACACAATAAAAAAGTTGAATCTCTCCCAAATTATTCTGCAAATATTTTTCAGAACAAATGAAAACAAAACCAGAAACAATCCCCCAAAATATACAGTGTATAATTAGAACTGCAGGAAGCAATTGCACAGTCTAAAGAAACAGAGAAAATACTGCTCATGCCTTGACAAGTTTTGGCACTGACATACGTTTCAGATCTCTCAGCTAAATATCAGAACTTTGAAAAGGGTGACATTTCTTAAGAAGTCAATCAAATATCCTACACTAAACAGGCTGGCTGCACATATCTGGGGAAAACAAAATAAAACAAATCAAAATAAATAAGAAGGTTTCAGGTATTGGTTCAAGAGTAATTTTTGTTATTAAACATGAGTTTGCAATAGGAGCTTCTACAAGGACTTGCACAAAACCATGACTGATGGATATATTTGTAGGCCGTTCAGTTAGTTCCATCAGCTCACTCAAACACATTTTGAACAGATTATGTACTGCAGTACTTCGTAGACCATACATTAAACAAGAGACTTTGCTCTGAGCCACTGCTTCCCAAAATCCACGGGGAAAAGGAAGCAGGAAAAAACAAAACTCATAGAGTTCGACAGCTACCGAGGCAACACTTGCCATTTACAATATAAGCCCAAATATTTTTGCAACACAACTATATATTAATTTAATAAAATACACAATATAGCTCTTATACACTCAACAATTTGGCTCATATGCACTGAATCTGCAATAAATCAATAAAAATATGTCATTTGATGTAAACACACTGAATCTTCTTACATTTGCACATTTATATGATCGTGTGATTTGTGTGGATGTCTAAGACATTTTCACTTTCCTGAGCTATTTTAGTGTCCACAAATGAATTAAAAAGTGTTAAGAACATTAATTTATTTTGTGTATTACCCCGAAAGGTAACTTTTTAAAAGGTATTTTTCTCCTCGTTTTTCTTTTTAACTTACTACTAACTACTTATAGCTTTGTTGGACACTAAAATGCTAAATAGATACCATTTTTTTTTCTTCTTTTTCAAGTGCGTTAGCTGATGTGTGTGCAGGACAAGATGGACAATATCATTTTACATTTAATCTTAATATGATATGAAGTGTTTTACTGATGATCAGGATATGTCTGGTTGAATAATGATCTGGAATGGTGTTGTTTTTGTTTTCTTGTTCTTTTTTTTTTTTTTTTTTTTTTTTTTTTTTTCCTTTCCTCTCTTATTTGTGGCAGATAACTTTGTACATAAATGTTTACCACAAATGAATGTTAATGTTTGGTGTCGCTTGGACTACTACAAGAACTCTTTTAGGACTTTCCGTAGAAGCCTGTGGTGACTGCTGGCAATCCACCACAGAATAGAAATATTCAACCCTGTTTTTCTTGGGGTTTATACGTAAACAGTAAAGTCAGCATCAGCTATTGAGGACAGTCTTAAAGTATCAGACGTATTTCCATTCCACCTTTCTCACACCTTCCTATCAGATTGTCAAAATGGCACCGTCTTTCCTTCATTCATATAGTTCTTTGTGTACTTGACTCTGTCCTAATGAAAGTTTGGTCAAAATGAAACCAGTGTTATCTGTCAAAAAGAAAGAGCAGTGAAAAGAACATACTTGTGGGCACTTCAGATGTTCACTAAAAGCCTTTACGCAGCATTGGTCTTCCTTCATTCCTGTAAATCTGTTACAACCGGGGGATTTTATTTTTTATTTAATTAGTTTTAATCAGCAGAAGAGGAATGTAACTGCCAGCCTGTCCTTATTTTCCCCCTTACTTTCTGATGGCCACAGGATCATTTCCCCGACAGTCCTGCAAGAGCTTGTCTATTTCTCTCACAACTTCCTCGGCATCCACCGACTCCCTGCCTAGATCCCGGGCTGAACGGTCTAACTGTTCCAGAACAGAGTCCATCTCACTTGAGTCTCGGCTCACTCGGGAATGCACATCTGCAAAGGCCCTAGCCATCTGATCTGATGTAATGAAGGGAGTGTCTTTTGACTGTTTACTAGGCGATAGATACTGACTGTCAGTTGACAAGTACTGGCTGTTTGGTTCAGCCAAGGCTCCTGATTTCACTTCACAACCATCCAGAGGTCCTTTTGTTGAGGTGCAAGGCTCAATGCATGTCTTGGTTGGGCTGCTCGATGCTGAGGGAACCTCCTGAAGCAGAGGACTCAGGGCACGTTTGGCTTTTAAATAAGGTTTAACATTGGCAATGAGAATAGTGTGCTCTCTCTTGTCTTTCCCAAATGTACAAAAAGTCTTTTTCCCAGTGGGGTTCACAGTTTCGTAAGTCTCAGTCTCAACATTAGCTTCAACTGTGGGTACAAAGAGATTTGTGCGATAATCTGCATTCTCAGCCTGGCTGGCTGCAGGGAACTGTGGCATCCAACATCTGTCAGAATGACCAAGCACTCTGCATTCATCTGTGCAGTTAACACATTCTTCTTGTTCTGTAAAACAAAGGAGAAAGAGAAAAACTCTAGTTATAAGTGGATTTCTTTAATGAAGTATCTATGATCAACTTGTGATGGACTTACTTGACATCTGGTGTCTTAACTATGGAGAAAAAGAAAAGCTATAATTAAAATATTTCAGAAGGATGGCATAGATCTACTTGTTGAGACATTAGATTTATTTAATGCTATTCTTTATGTATTAAAGCATTCACGCAGCCCAGTGGAAGTAAAAAGGGGTCATTAGAGAATCATTCTCAGAGGAACGGAGCTTCAGCTGTAAACTAATCTGCTGTAGAAATCTGTTAGGCTTTGTTCTGTAAAACTCATCCTAGAAAATAGTGAGCAGTACTTAAAGAACTCAAAAGGCATTATCAGGATTAATTTTTCAAATCAAATAACTGAGCAATGACTGCCTTTCTGGAAATACAAACACTTCACAAGAATCAGCAAGCTGGCTTTTCATTTTTGTCACCTCCATTTCTTTTGTAATTGTTATGTTGTATGACAGTCACGAAATAAAAAGGTTTTCTTAAAAAGCCTACTTTTCCTGCTGAGAACCGAGAACTAGAATTTTCCATCAGAATGAATTAAATATAAGCTTGTCAAAAAGTGCATACTGCAATTTTATTAGACATGAGTATGGATCATGTAATCAGCTTTACCATTTTTGTTTTGGTGCAATAACTGAAAATGGATTTGCTCAATACATACGAGTTGGAAGAATGACAAACCATGACATACTATTTGAAATGATAATGATTGTAGGATTTCTATATTCTTATTTCTTTCAAAGAATACAGTTAAATATATGTTTTTTTAAATTCATTACATTTCTAGAACATAAATTCTAATACTTCCCATCCTACAAGTATTTAAAAACCTTAGTTTGACTGCATTTTTGAACTAACAGAATATGGTTGAACCACTACTCACCATTTTGAAATTGTATACATGACTTTAATTCAATTTCAAGAAGCAGGAAAATTCCAGAAATGTGTTTTAAACATGGATTTTGTGAAGGTTGGTTGTTTTTTGTTTGTTTGTTTGTTTTTGTTTGTTTGTTTTGTTTTCTTTTTTTCTTCTCAGGAATGACAGCTATGATGCAAATTACCTTCACTTCTTTCTTGATTTTTTTCAGTACTCTCCAATCAATGCTGACCCCATAAATCCTTTCAGTATCTCTAGGTTTTGACCAGCCACACATTGCTATTAAGGATTTTGATCAACAGAGTGGACATATCGGTTTCAAATTTGATTTTAGGAATTCAGTACATACAAAATGCCTTAAATTTCAGTTGGATTTTAAACTAAACACATTATACACATTTGCAGAGACATCCACAACAGGTCTTTACAAAAGCTGAGCAAACTTCTTGACCTGATGATAGGACAAATTCTAACAGATCATAATCTTTCCAGATTAGAAAATAACCCCCCTGTAATCTTATGATATATATAAATAATCACTAGATTCATGGACAGCTGCACTGCATAAAACTGACATAGAAGAATCATTTATTTTGCGAGTGTCCAATAGTATAAGTAAATTTGTTCACATTTATAAAAAGACATGAATACAATATGGCTTAAATTTACTCAAAATTGTCTTACATCACAATGATCAATTAAATCGGAGTGAGATAATTCATAGGATCATAGAATCATAGATTGGTTTGGGTATTAAAGGAACGATTTTTTAAAAGAAAAATCTTAAAGGAAAGGACCTTTAAGATCACCTAGTTCCAAACACCCTGCTATAGGCAAGGACAGCACCCTCTAGACCAGGTTGCTCAAAGCCCCATCCAACCTGGCCATGAATGCTTCCAGGTAGGGGACATCCACAGCCAATCTGGGCAACCTGTTCCAGTGTCTCATCACCTTCACAGTAAATAATTTCTTCCTAATATCTAGTCTAATAAATAAAATAAATACAACAACAACAACAATAATAATAATAATAAAATTTAAAAAAATAAGAATCAATTCAATTTGGTTTTTTACTTTTGTTTTATTGTGTTTTGTTTTGTTTTGCTTTGGTTTATTTTATGGGTTTGTCCGGTTTTAAATCTAACATATTTAGTTACTTATGATAAGAAATTGATATGTTACTCAAAATTTACTTAGATCTGTGAGTTTTTAGTACAGTTATTAAAAAAAATTGTCATTCTGTATAAATACATCCTTCCTTCCTTAAATTTAAGAATGGTATAAGACTTTCAGAAAAGAAATAAGAGAATGAAGTACAGTTAGAGAAGGATACAGAGTGATTTTTGAGGAAGAGAATATAACATGCATTAAAGATAAAATTTGCAGGGGATCTCCAAGGATAAGCAAGCTTCATGCTGATTTTAGCGTACAATACAAGCTGAAGTAGTCATAATGAAAAGCATGATGAAAATACATTCCCAGCCCTAAGACTGTAACACACTGACAGAACTAGGAAAAGTTCTGATTTTGCTTCACTCGAATGAGATGAAATTGGCAGTCATGCCTGCAGGCACAACAAATATGGGACAATTGCTTAATGAAAAATGTAGGTGTAAATTTCATATATATAAAGGAGAATTTAGACACCTCATTCCAACCATTAGTTCACCTCCACTAAGATTTTTGAATCTTGTTTTCTAGAGCTTCCACCACCTTCAAACAGCTGCTGCATTTCAAACAAATCAAATCACAATACTTTAAATGGGACATAGAGGAAAAATACTGGAAAAGAATGTTTCAAATTTTCAAGTTTTAACAGGGAATGGGCAATAGATAATAAAAGCTGAAGTCTGGTTAGCTTTTATTATGAATAGAAATCCAACAGAAATAAACTAAAAAAAAAAAAAAAAAAAAGTGCTCCAAGGCCAATGCAAACCAAGACCTTTCTATAATAATTCTGGAATTTTAGATTTTGCAAATATTTTCTCTAAATTCTTTCTGCTATTTTTTCTCTTTCTACAGAATGGATTTGTGGTAAACATAGCCTGTGGCATAAAAAGTGAGTCTAGATAGTAGTGAGAAATAATAACTGCTTCATTTAAGATTTTCTCTAATATATATCTAAAATTATTTTACTCTTATACAATGCTGAATAAAATTTTTGGTTCTTTTAAAGGATTCTCTAGGAAATTAATTTATTTTTGCTAACTAACTGTTTTATTTTGCAAATTTAACTATCTTTGCATCATTTTTTTAATGTATATGATTTCAATTCCTTTAAACAAAATAAAAAAATAAAAAAGATGATGCATTTGTTAGCAGCTGTTAAATGCTCTGTACTGCATAATCAATGAACAAAGATTTCTCCCTATCACTTTGCTCTTTTTAAATTATTTCATGAATGCAGAAATAATCTTTTTTCCTTTATATCTCACAGAAAAAAAAAAAGAAAAAAAAAAACATAAAAAGAATGTAGTACTGCCTCTAAAACAAAATAATCATATTTAATGCATTGCAAGTTCACAGTTTTTACAGCTCTTTAGTCACTAGTTTTGTGTTATATTATCTTAAAATTATCTTTCATAATTTTCTACTTTCTACATTCAATATATATAGAAAGGCTGCTCCAAAAGTAGTATCTCCTATTTTATTACCTTGGCCCATGACATCAGAGGCCAATGTCAGTTGATGGTATGGCAATAGAGGTTGAATCTCCCTGCCACTATCTCATTGCATTTTGTTGCTGTGTGACAGATGGCAGCAGAGAGGCACTCTGACAAAATGATGTCTGACATGAATGTGCATATGAAACAAAGGGGTGTTATTGAACTACATGCAGAAAAAGTTACTCCCATTGATATTCATCAGTGGTTGCTGAATGGTTACAGAGATCAAGGAGTGAGTATAAGCACAGTGAGATGGTAGGTGGTACATTTCAGCAGAGGTGACAATGACATGAAAGACAAACCAGATTCTGGATGGTCATACACATTTTTATGATCATGACATGCAGTTTCTTGTTCATCACTGGTGAAAATGCATAGCTAATGGTGGTGTATGCATTGAAAAATAGTGTTTTGCAGCTTCAAGTTTGCTCTTTCAGATAGTGTTATTGTATTCTTCATATCTGTTGTAGTTTCCATGGAAATAAATAGGAGGCATTACTTTCAGAGCAACCTAAATACATATAAAATGCAGAGCTGAACAACTTATGTAATAAGAGATTCATTTTTCCACTCTTATTTTAAAACCTGGCTGTTCTGTTCTAATAAAATTATTCCCCGAACTGAGACTGACATGAACAAACCTGAGATGAAAGATGAAGATCAGAGAAGTTCTCAGCCACTGGAAATGCATTAACTATACTAGGTACTTAGTAGTGTGCTACTATGCTTTGAGGTTTTCAAAACTGATTTGTTTAATTTTATCACTGAGTTACATTCTATGATTTGAATTTATTACTTCATGTGTGCGCACATACACTGATTATGAAGATAACATACAGTATTTGCATTATTCATTGGCATCAGTAAACATACAAATTTTACTGGCAATCTCTTTAAGTAGAGGAGATATATAACGTAGCATATATATCATGTATATTGCATGTCACATCTTCCTTCCCCTTCTCACTTCCTGCATTTGCTATAGCAGGATTGCATTCATACTCATAGTATTGACTAGCTTTCCATTTCTGATCCTCGGGCACCTTAGCAGTGAAAGAATTAAATATGAAGCCAAAAAAAAAAAAAAAAAAAAAAAAAAAGGCAGTTCTGTAAAGAAAAATATCCTGATTGACCTTGAAGTGAAAACCACCTATCATGGCTGGTTCATGACCTTTAGTATTCTAGTTTTGAAAATCTGTCTCTTAGACTTCACTTTTTTTGCATCACATTGTGGGAAATGGATTTCATATATTGATTATCATACATTATAAGCCACTCATCTCACTATTAGCTTGTAATTTTGCCTGCTACATATAACAGACAGTGAGAAAAATTGAGCAGGCCCTCTTAGTACTAGCAGTAGAAACTACAAATATGAAATGAACTATCACCACCACAGGC